ACGGGGTCTCGCTCTTGCTCAGGCTGGTCTCGAACTCCTGAGCTCAAACAATCCGCCCGCCTTGGCCTCCCAGAGTGCTAGGATTACAGGCGTGAGCTACCGCGCCTGGCCCAGAAACCCCACTCTTTCCATCCCCTGAGCTGCTCCACCTCTGGAGTTCTCAATTCAGACCTCCAGCTTTGGACCACAACCTCTCCCACCTCGTATTTTCTATCCTCCTGAGTCCTATAGACCAGCTCTCTCCAAAAGAACTTTCTGTGGTGAGGGAAATGTTCTTTATATTGGTGCTGTCCAAATCAGGGGCAACTGGGCAACTGAGCTTTAAATGTTATTAATTTTCATTAATTCAAACTGACATTAAAATAGCTACAGGTGGTGACTGGCTACCATATTGAGAGGCACAGCTCTAGATCCCTGGTCTTTCTATGTCCTCTTCCATCCCTGTCCTGTCTTCCTTCTCTCTTTGGCATTGTCTCCCTGGTCCATCACATCAGCCACCCTCTCTCCTTGTCCTTCTGTCCCACCTCCTGGAAAATACTCTCAACTCCAGATTAATCCAATGTTGTCTTTATCTAGGGCTACATGGGGCTGCTGGGTGCTGCTGGGGGAAGGGATATGTGTGTCCCATGACTTTGCTGGTTGCCATTCTTTCTCATAGATGGTCACCAGCCTCAACAGGGCCTTTAATTTTGCCCAGCAAGCATTATCCTCTTCTCTGTTAATGACCTCAGAGCTCCAATGCTCCCAGCTCCTCCCCCACCCACTGTCAGCTGATGGTGTCACTTCCTATTTCATTGAAATAAGAGAAGCTTTACTTTGAGACCACCTGACCACCGATTTTACCAGGGTAGTTTTATCTGTCTTCAACTTCTCTGCTCCTGCTGGCTCCTTCCTATCAACATTTAGGCATGTTCAAACAGCCTTATCTTATAAACAACAATAAAAAATCCCAACCTTCCCTCAATCCAGCATCACCTTCCTGCTAGGGCCCTATCTCTTTCCTACCACTTGTATTCACACTTCTTGCAAGTTGTCTACACTTGCTATCTCCACTTTCTCACCTCTCATTCACTCCACAACCTGAGGCAGTCTGGCTTCTGTCCCTACCACTCCTCTGCAACTGCTTGCTAGTCAAGGTCACCAATAACTTCCTTGTAGTTTGATCCAAAGGACTGGCTTCAGATCTTATCTTGACCTTTAAGGCATGTGACACTGTTCACTGCCCCTCCTTCCTTGCAACAGCTCTTGCCCATTGGTTTCTATGACACCTGAGTCTCCTGGGTTTCCTCCTTCTACTCTGGCTACTTCTAAGTTTTCTTGAAACCACCACATTTCCCCCTTCCTAGGGTGATCCGTCAGGCTTCACAGGTAAGGTTTTGTATCAAGAACGGCGTTTCCCCTTCTCAGCGCAGTTCTTGCAGAAACCTAGGAATTTGCTTTCTCACCCAAGAGCTGCACAGTTGTGTTTTCAACTCTGGTTTGCACCATGCTCAGAGCCTGACATGCCTTCACGGGTGTGTATTTATAACCCCCACTTTGAGAGGCTCTCACAACACTTGGACATCTGTTTTTTTCATTTGTTCCCTCAAAAGGCAGCCTGCGTTAGGAAGGGACACTGATAAATTAGAGGGCACTGGGAGAGGCTGCAGAGTGGTCAGAAAACACTGTCCGATGAAAAATCATTAAAAGAACTGGGAACATTTTGCCTAGAAGAGATAAAACTGAGGGATGTTAGAAGACTGATTTCAAAAATTTGAAGAGGCAGAGCCTTGATCTGGGCTGATGTGTAGGGATGGAATCAGACCAACTGCAGAAGTAAGAGAGAGGTGGGTTTTGAACAGAGGTAGAGAAATTCTACTGTGTTACAAAATGTTTCCGGACCTCCTGGACATAAGGTCAGTGAGATAGTCCTTGCCCAACAGCAACAACTAGATGCCACGCTTAGACCTAAGTGATCACAATGAAACTGGAAATGTCCCTGCCTTAGCCCCTCCTGAAGACCACTGGCCTAAGCTCAGCTGGCATTCTAGAAAAGCCACACTCCAGGGAGGGCAATTTCAAACTTGCTGCCACACAAGATCCATCAAAAGCACCGTGGACAGAAAACAACGTAGCAAGAGGAAGGCTTGGAAAGTGCTCAGCATTCCAGTCTTGGAGACACTGCAGAATATAACCCAGTGGGGTGAGCAGTGAGCTACACCCCAATTTGCCTCTCTTAGAACCTTCCTTGCCAGAATGTCTTTTCCTGACTTGTGTTTCTGTGGGATGCCATCAGCTTATATTGAGGGCCATCCAACTGCCCCACGGAGTTCACTGTGTGACTGTTATGGGGATGTTGTTCGGGATGTTCGTTCACTACCTCACACCGTGTTCCTTTTCTGAGGCCCTCCAGGAGAAATTCCTGTCTGATTTTAGTACCAAGAATAGTTGTAATTCTCTTGAGCAATAGGTCTGTTTTTATCTCATGGACACTGGGAATTGTGTAACAGAGTCTCCTTTTCACTTTGGCTGCAGGAGAGCTCAGGGACAAATGTGTGGCCCACCCACAGAAAGTGAACAGGATATTCCAGGGTGCGTTGTACCCTCATTCCCATCTCTACTTTTTCTTCTTTCTTGGTTTTTCTTTCTTCTCTTAGCTTTCCTTATTTTACTGTGCAAAATTGAGAACATACAAGCACAGATAAATAAAAATCACCTGTAATCTCACTATCCAGCGATAACCACTATTAACAGTGCTGCTTTTTATGCATACTTTTTAAAAATAAAAATGAGATTATACTGTGCATAACTGTTCATTTTAATTTGCTTTTTTCATTTTACAATATGTCATAAACATCTTTCCACGTAATTAAATATTCTTTAAATAATTAAAAATTTCTGTATAGATCTAGCAATTTAATACTACCAGCTAACATTTCTACACCCACTGTGTGTCTGACTTTGTGTATATTTACATATACATACATGTGAAAGTATGTTTGTGTGTAGTATAGAACTATAATATGCATGTATATATAAGCTGCAATATTCAGATGTATCAATTCATTTGACGCTCATGGCCCTAAGAGGTAGACAGTACTGACTCCCTTGTACAGATGAGGAAACCAAGGCACAGAAAGATGCAAAGGCTTGCCAGGGTCACATGGCAGAGGTGGAATTTCAGCCCAAGTACTGTGGTTCCAAAGCATGTCCTCCTAAGAGCTATGCTGCCTTTCAGTATACCATTGGGGATTCACGGCCACAGTGGTGAAGCATTTCCTTTATTTCCTTTCACCTCACTTTGAATTTACGTTAATTTGCCATATTTTAAGTACCCTTGTAAGTCACCTGAAATCCATTCTGCCATAAGGAAAAGCATTAAAAAATGGCGCAGAGCGTGGTAAACAGCACAAGAAGGCAAGGCTAAAGTGCTACGCTAGGACAGAAGACAAATCCAGGCTGTCCTGCAATGAAATGGATTTATTTCCTTGGGCTGTGGTGAGCTCCCATTCCTGGAAGAGCTGGCTTGGGTGGCTGTCTCTCGGGGAGGCTGGGGAAGGGCCGCATCCAAGGAGACTGAGCTGGGCCAGATGAGCCCGAGGCCCCTTCTTAGATTCTCAGGGTTTATGAAAGTGCTAACAAGACAAAATGAGGCACTTAATGTAGCTCATGCAGGAAGGCATCCCCTGGGCCAGAAACAGGAGCTGGGGCTTTTCATCTAAATCTATTACTAGACCACACATCTAAAAGCAAGAAATAAACCAACAGAAATTTGGTTCCAAGCTCTCAGCCCAGTGTATTCTTTTCCCAAAGCTCTTTGGCTGCTGTTGCAAGATGGCCAAAGGATGCTGTCACTGTCCTCAGTCCTTTTAAGGTGACAGAGAATGAGCTGGATGGCCCAGAGGATGCCCATGACACTCTAACTCGGTAGGGTTATCCGTTTGGCAAATGCAATGAGTGGAAGGAGCCCAGGTTTCTATTCTCTGATTCCATGTTTACTAGCAGGGAGATCTTGAGCAAGTTTGTTGGCCTCCTGAGACCTCAGTTTCTCATCTGCAACATGTTAATACCTACTTAGCAAAGCCGTTGTGGAGATCGCATGGGATGGTATTAGGTATTGCACCCCTAAAAACGTGGGTGAGGAAGTACCAATAACCTGCCCCAGGGAATCCAGGGAGGGCTAGGCTGCCCTCAGGCCTGGGCCTCAGGCCCATGAGGCCTGTCTTTGAGGGGCAATGGTCAGCTCCCAGGTGCTGCCCGGCTTCTTACTCCTTCAGCCTCCTGTCCACCGTAGCCCCCCTGGCGAGAAAAAAGCCGTGTTCCCAACAAATAGGCCCACGCGCAGTGACACCCGTGGGGGTGCGGGCGAGCAACCCCTCCACGCCGTACCCTAGAGGCTTCCAGCAGGAGTAAGGAGCAGGCAGAGGTGGCATCCTCCTCCTTTTCCTCACGCCCCGGGGCTGCGTGTCCACAGGGTGCGAGGTGCCACCGGGGCCATCAGGCTGGATTTGAGGAAGTCCCGACCTCCGCGCAGCAAAGAGAACAAACACAGATGTGTTTGGCTGGGACCAGAAGGCAGAAAATCGTCCTCTCCCCCCGCCCGCGCGCTACCCCGGGGCGCGAGGCTCCCGGGGCAGCGCGGGGCCCGGGCGAGGCTGACAGTCCCCGGCCGGCCCCTCCTCCCCGCACGGGGTGCGCGCCCGGCCCAGCCCCCTCTCCGGGGTTTCCCCGGGCGCTCTTCTCGCGTTCTCTTTGTCTCTGCTGCTCTTTCTCGGGCTCCCGGGTTCCCACCCGCTCGCGCTCTCCTTCTCTCGCGTCCCGGGCCGCTTCCCTTTAACTTTCTTCTTTCCCGGGGTTAAAACTTTGCTCGCGAGCTGGCGGCAGCTCGCCGACGTTATTGGCCGGCGCCCCGCCCGGCGGCCCCGCCCCCCGCCCCCGCGTTCCCCTCCGCCCCCCACTCCCAGCGCGAGTGGCGGCGGCGGCGGCGGCGCCTTCGGGGGCGTGCGTGCGTGTGTGTGAGTGCGCGCCAGCGAGCGTGAGTGTGTGTGTGCGCCCCGGGCGCGGGCAGGGCAGCACTCCGAGAGCGGCGGGAGCCGGGCGGCCGCGTCGTCAATCGGGCGAGAGAGGAGGCGGCGGCGGCGGCGGCCGGGCCGGGGCTGGGGCAGCGGCGGCCGCGCCGGGCATGGAGCTGGCAAGCCCGCGCTGAGGCAGGACGCGCCTGCTAGCAGCGAGCGAGAAGCTCTCCGCCGTCCGGCGCGCGGGCTCCCCGGCGAGCCGGGCAAACTTTTCTTTCTCTTTTGCCCTCTCCAGAGGTAAAGTCCCGAACCCGGACTTTCCGTCAGGGACGCGATTGGGGGCAGCTGAGAGGAAGCCCAGGCTGCGGGAGGAAGGGGCGCGGGCCATGCGGGTTCGGGGGCCCCCGAGCTCTCCAGCACCCGGGATTTGGGGTACGAGGCGGGCTGGCTGCGGACGAGCAGATGGGCGCGGAGATGGCCCACGCGCACCGTGGAGGCGGCGGTGGAGGGGAAGCCGAGCGTTCTCCCGCCGCTCCGGCTCGCTGCCCGGCGGGGAAGAAGGGGTGCGGGTGCGGGCTTGGAGGCCCCCGGATTCGCCTGCCCGCGGGACTTTGCGGGAGCGAGGCGGGCAGTCGGCCGCGGGTGTGGTGCGGGGAAGCCCGGCGTTCGTCCGCGCCCCCGCTCACCGAGGGCTGGAGGGCGCGGGGCGGGCTAGCTGAGCGCAGCTCCCTTCTCTCTGCAGGCGCCTTCTGCGGCAGGCGGACCGACTCCTCGGCGCGGCGGGGCTGGGGCAAGCTGGACGCAGCATGATGCGCGCAGTGTGGGAGGCGCTGGCTGCGCTGGCGGCGGTGGCGTGCCTGGTGGGCGCGGTGCGCGGCGGGCCTGGGCTCAGCATGTTCGCGGGCCAGGCGGCGCAGCCCGATCCCTGCTCGGACGAGAACGGCCACCCGCGCCGCTGCATCCCGGACTTTGTCAATGCAGCCTTCGGCAAGGACGTGCGCGTGTCCAGCACCTGCGGCCGGCCCCCGGCGCGCTACTGCGTGGTGAGCGAGCGCGGCGAAGAGCGGCTGCGCTCGTGCCACCTTTGCAACGCGTCCGACCCCAAGAAGGCGCACCCGCCCGCCTTCCTCACCGACCTCAACAACCCACACAACCTGACGTGCTGGCAGTCCGAGAACTACCTGCAGTTCCCGCATAACGTCACGCTCACGCTGTCGCTGGGCAAAAAGTTCGAAGTGACCTACGTGAGCCTGCAGTTCTGCTCGCCGCGGCCCGAGTCCATGGCCATCTACAAGTCCATGGACTACGGGCGCACGTGGGTGCCCTTTCAGTTCTACTCCACGCAGTGCCGCAAGATGTACAACCGGCCACACCGCGCGCCCATCACCAAGCAGAACGAGCAGGAGGCCGTGTGCACCGACTCTCACACCGACATGCGCCCGCTCTCGGGTGGCCTCATCGCCTTCAGCACGCTGGACGGGCGGCCCTCGGCGCACGACTTCGACAACTCGCCCGTGCTGCAGGACTGGGTCACGGCCACTGACATCCGAGTGGCTTTCAGCCGCCTGCATACATTCGGCGACGAGAACGAGGACGATTCGGAGTTGGCGCGCGACTCGTACTTCTATGCTGTGTCTGACCTGCAGGTGGGCGGCCGCTGCAAGTGCAACGGCCACGCGGCCCGCTGCGTGCGCGACCGCGACGACAGCCTGGTGTGCGACTGCAGGCACAACACGGCCGGCCCGGAATGCGACCGCTGCAAACCCTTCCACTACGACCGGCCCTGGCAGCGCGCCACGGCCCGCGAGGCCAACGAGTGCGTGGGTGAGTGGGGTGCGGAGACGAAGCCGGCGGCGGACGGGGACGGGCACGGGCAGCGGCTGCCGGGCTTCGCAGCGGCGGGTTCTTAGGAGCGCGGGCGGCGGCCGCAGCGGAGGATTGCCTGCTGCTGGGATGTGGGAACGGTGGGAGGCGCGCTCGGGGATGCCCAGGACCCGGGAGGGCTGAGAGCGGGCCACTCGCTCGTGTGGCGCCAGCTGTGAATGCCCAGGTTTGCACCCAGTGGCCTCTGCGAAGCCAAGAAGCAGCGGGAGAAATGCTGCCGGGAGGGGGTTTTGCAGAAAATTTGCCGACAGGGTATCCCTAAGCCCGGATCCAAATGCAAACATTCATTGCCTTCCCCTCAGTTTGGCTGCACCGAGATTCACCTCCGCCCCACCCCCCTTTCCTAAGGCTGCAGCTAGGCGCTCAGTTGGGGACCCCGGCCCAGTCCCTGGGAAGCTCCAGCTCCACAACCCCAAATCCCTTGGGAGATGGCAAAGAACTATTTGCAGTTTGGGGCTAGCTGGGCACCCGGCACCCGACGAACGTCGCTTCTGCACCCGCCATTTGTCTTTTTATGGTTTGAAAAAAAGTTTTTTTTCCCCTCTTTTGAACGTCGTGTTTGTATTAGCAAAAGAAAAGTAATGTGATTTCAATTAATTACTATCTACAGATTACAAAGGAGAGTTTAGTAATTATTTTAAACTAATTCAATTCTGGTCTAAAAAAAGTATACCAGGTTTTTTGCGTTAGCTTCAGGGTTTGGTGAAATTAAACAGTTTTGAATTAACTAAGGGCCCAGCTTCTTCTCGCTTTTTAATGGGGTTTCAATTCCTGAAAGAGAAATTTGACAAAACCGGGCACTGGTGAATACGTCTGGGTCAGAAATGAGACTAAAAAAAGGGTACGTTCTACTTCTGGATTGTAAGATTTTTGCTGCCGTAGAAACTCTCACACATCAGTTTCTTCCCCTGGGAGGGGGTGGTGGTGGTGAAGGAGGGGAAGGTAGTAAGACAATACCTTGGTTTTTCAGTATGAGACATACATTTCCAAATCCTACATTTATTTTAATGAAAATTATGTAGTCCGTCAATGTACCATTTGGTGTGCATCTTTTGTGAGCATATAGATTTTGCCTCCCCCTCCCCCAATCCCGAACAGCCAGTGTGAGTCTCTTCAATTGCTTCACCCTCTGAGGCACATTGCGAAGTTTGCTGGTCCCCGCAAACACACGTTTTTAGGTCTGGTTCTGATTAATTGTGTCATGTTGTTGTCGAATAGTTTGTGCCTCATGACTGTGGATGCAGACTTTTGAGCAAGCGAATGGAAAACATGTCTTGGAGGGCTGGGTCAGCACAGAGGCCCAGGCAGGCGTCCTGGTCTGCAGGCGCCTGTGCCTCCTGTTGCATGGCGAGGCCTCCATTTTTACACTCATGTCCCGCTTTTGCAGACCTAATTGTTCATCCCCCTCGTTTAAGGGACAGAATTGGTTTCCAGTTTGAAGGCACTTTTCAAGATTTCACAGAGAGAGAGTAGTTATAGTCTAATTTAGTGGTCTTTGAGAATAAAATTCCTTTGATCTGCTCAATTCCCTCAGAAATGTTGGTTTTTCCCATCTCTTCTCTTCCCCCTCCTCGCTCTTTTCTTTTCTTCCTTTTGTGCGTAAAAACCCTTTATTGACATTTAAAGGGATTCCCAGGGCTTGGCTATCAGTTTTAGTTTGTATGTGCATATGAAAGATGACTTTGTATTGTCAACAGCAGAGCCTAATTGGACAAATGCAAGTGAATACATGGAGGCGAATACACTTGATGTCGTGATAAAATTTTACTAGCTTCTTAGCGCTGGTATTGTTCAGATTCACCACCCACCCCCATGTCTTCTTCCTGTCACTCTGGATGTTGGAGATGAAACCTGCATTTTTTATAACGATCGTCGTGCACTTGAAATAATCTCTCTAGTTTAGGATTTTGTCTTTTGACCAAAGCACTAACTATGCATACAAATTGGATTGACCTTTTTTTTTTGGCCAAATTGAGCAATCAACATATTAACTAATGTAATTAGTAAGCGTTTTGTTCAAAAAGTTTAATTAGGCCTAATAAGTACATAATCTACATGACAAATGATCAGCTAACAATATTTTTCTGGTTTTTAGTGAAGTTATTTTAATCCCCAGTAGTTAAAGTATCTTTAAATCTTGCCAATTATTCAGTCATCTCATAAAAGCAAAGCCAATTCAACTACGTTAAAGTTATTTATAGTTTCCTTTTTGAATAGATGTTCTGATACCTCGCAGATATAGCTGGGAACATCAGATTGAAGTTCTCATAAAGTCTTAATTGAAGTCTTAGTGATTTTTCCATCATTCTGTAAAAGAGAAAGCCAGCAAGGACAATTTAGGAGTGATTTATAATTAAAGGTCGAGCTTTTTATAAAAAGGCCCTGTAGTGGAGATATGTGAATGAATTAGTATTTGACAGGTGTTCTGAGATACTAAAGGGCACTGTGCTAGGAAAAAGCATTAATAAATCCTTCAGACACTAACTTTGTACTATCAGAGACTCAGAATTTTTCCCCCCAACATAATCCCATCTTGTGAATTTCACACTGTTGACACATAAAGTCAAGCTACCCAGAGTATTTACAACTAAGGCAAAGTAAAGAAATATATTTTTTTATTCCAGACGTCAATCTTGATAAAAACAAGGCTATTACTGTGCTATTCTGTCTTTGCTTTGCTCTTATAAAATAATGAAACATGATTTATCATAGACTAAAGTGGCACCCTTTCCTAGGTTAATCCATGCCCCCCAAAAAAACCCTAAAATTAAAAATGTTGATTTTATCATTTGACTATAGTCCTTCTACATAGGGCCGAAGTACTTATAGATTACTAAGAAATCCTATGTGCTTTCGTTGGTCCAGCTTTCTTTTTGGTGTTGTTTCAAGGTCAAGTTCTCTACAGAATAAATGTGAACTTCAGTAAAGCTCGATTTTATTTTAAATGCAATTTTGGATTTCTTCCGGAAAAAAAAAAAAACCCTCAAAACAATATGAAAGACAAGACTATGTATAATGTTACAGCCTCGACAGCTCTCAGTGGAATAACTAAATACTTTCTTCCGCCCATATGTATCAGCAGTGTTCACATGCTTTTATACACATGTGCATTTACATTTATCGTGTAAAGAAGCATCCATGCATGGTAGGGGTGTGTGTACATTTGAGGGAAAATGCATGAACAGTTTTAAACCACCTGGGTTGCTAGGCCTTTTTTTCCCCTCTTCCTTTTTTTCAAAAGAGCATCTGAAGACCATATTGTGTTTCATAAATTATTGACATCAGTTTTAATCAGTGTCCCCCTGACGTCGGAGCTGTGTTAGTATTTAGTGCCTGACGAAGAATGCTGTTTAATCTTAATGTGGGGATGTCAGCATGAGCCCCTGCATAGCTTGTGACAAGTCTAGCTTATGAAAACTCGTTTTGCGACTCACTCTATGGGTTTGCATTGCCTAGCCGTAACCCAAAACCCACACAAAAGATGTCTCTGCAAGACAAGCACCACTGTGCTGGGCTGGCCTCCCCTATGGTCATTGGTACCTGCAACATAATGCTCATAATTGTTTAAACATGGCTTTGAGGGGTGTGGGGAATCCTCAAACCGTAAATGGCCCTGGTGCTTTGGTCCACCCCCATTCCTGGCAAGAGAGGGAGGTTATATTGGGGGTGTTGCCATGAGAAATCCAATGCCCCACTAAAGACCCTTGCAAAATCATAAGGCTGAAATTACGTGCTGCCTAGTCCAGAGCCTGGCACATAGCTATAAATGAGTGAATGTTTTTAACAGTTATAGTAATTATTATAATTATTATCATTATGATGATTAATCCTTGAGGGCTTATTCTTTGCCAAGCACTCCCATTAATTTAGTCATTCTGACTATGCTAGCAATAGGCACTATTATTGTACTTATTTTGGAGGTGAGGAAGCCATGGCCTGGAGACATTAAATGGTTTATCCAAAACCACATAACTAGGAGGTGGTGAAGCTGGGGCTCCAGCCTGATGTTTGTGCTTGGTTTTATTGCATTCACTGTGCTGCCTTTCCATGAAAGGAATGGATGGATACATGGAAGAATGGATGAATGAATGAATCCATGTATAGGAGAAGAGCTGGAGCACCTGTTACTTCTTGCTAGAACTGGAGGAGGTTCCCTAGTTGTGTTGCATTAGATTAGATTAGGTTAGATTCATATACACTTACATATGAAGTTGTATATAAGAAATTTTCCTTTATCTCAGCCATCAGGCCTGGTGGGAGGTGGGAGTTATGACTGTGAGTGAAGGAGGTTTAAATACTTTCCTGTGGGTTCTCAGCATCTACAGGTGTTGCTGATGGCCAAGTCTGTCTCGATTTCAGGGCCTGTGATCTCTCTTAAAGGTGGTGAAGCAGAGCTGGTAATCAAAGCCCCTTTTTAAGAAGGCTTTCTTTTTTCACCCTGTGCTCACCATTCCTTTGCTTCACCGGAACATACTGCGAAAATCCAGGAAGTGATTAAAAGTATTGTTGCCAAACAGAGGAGTTTGACTGGGAGCGGTATGTCCTGGTCACTGGTGTGGTGCTGCTATGTGCAGTTTATTCCAGTCAACAGCACAAGGCTGTCATTTATCTCTACTGGCCCCAGGGCAGCTGGAGTGAGGGTCTCTGCTGGGGCCCTTGTTAGCACCTGTTGGACAGGGACCTCTAAGCAAGGAGGCTGCTTCCTGCTCTACCCAGAGAAGTGAGGCAAGTTTGTCAGGGCAAACCTGTGGGTCTGTGCACTTCTAAGCCCTGCCAAGCTCTCTTTTAGCCCTGCCCAGACTTCTCTCTGACTTCCTCCTCCTGTAGAAAAATGAGATCCTCGGAAAAGTATTTGAGACTTTATGTCCAGAGTAAATACTGGAAAGGCAGTGGGTTGAAATTCAGATGTTCCCTGGAAGGAATCCCCTCATTTTCTGCTC